AGCAGAAATCAAGCCGTTGGCAACACAATTCATGCCGTTGGGAGTCGCAATTTTGGACCAATTCTCTCACTGTATGGCTGTAGGTTTGAAAAAAAAAGGGTAACATAATCAATTTTCTTTCTTCCTTACAGCGCGCCCAGACACACCCTTAATTAACCAAAAAAATTACATGTTTATTAATAATAAATTAATTATTAAACAAAAAAATTAAATATAAACTAAGAAAACGTGTATTGTACGTTGCTTGCACCTAGTAATAATAAAATGTGTCAACATGTGCAAGTATATCTCTGATATGGATATGGATGCAGATAAATTGATAGATACAGAGAACAAATCGTGACGTACATGAATTGTACATTTGTACAAAACCTGCTCTTTCCCTCCTTTTCAAACGCGAAAACACACTCCTTTTCAGACAAAACACCTCAACCCCACGTGGAGAAAGATGTTTCCAAGAATCAACCTAAATTATGAGTCGTAAGGTTTTATAATCTATAATTTTAATTACCACTGTCCTTGTCCTTTTTCCGTTAACTTCTCTGTATCATTGTCTTCAACTCAACTTTCTTAGGCCCTCTTTCTTAAGGACCCTTCCAAGTTCACCTCTTGGCTCTTGTCATTCTTTCCAAAAACTCACAAATTATAAATTATATAATTATAGAGGTTTTTTCTTTTTCTGGGCATTGTTACTTCTTACTTGTTTAAGAATTCAGTAAGTTGTTTCGAGAATTTGTTCATCGTTTGTTTGAATGTGGTGATGATGGATCTGAGAAGGCGTTTACTTTTGATTTTGTTACTGTTTTCGGCTCAATTTATTTGCTTGGTGAAGGGGAATGTTGTATTTAAAGTTCAACACAAATTCGGAGGTCGTGTGCTGGGGAGATCGGCTCTTAGTGAATTTCGGGCCCACGATTCGCTCCGGCACGGCAGAATGCTGGGGGCGGTTGATTTGCAGTTAGGCGGCAACGGCCAGCCCACTGACGCCGCGTACGTATTGGATTTTATTTTATGTTTGGGCTTATCCTGGATTGGAATTTATCTTTGACTGATTTTGAATTTCGTGAAATAGTCATTTAGATTTGGTTGGATTTATTTCTGAATTTGAATTTCAATGGCCGGCTTCATGAGCTGTATTATCCTGATTAACGCTGTGAATTAATTAGGTGGCCTTGCGTGTTTGTTCAAATCCAGCTCATTTTTGCTGTGTTGGTCTTGCTTTAACATCAAGGAAGAATGTTTTTGCTGGGTTGTCTTTATTCTTCTTTTCTTATCTCGACTCCAGTTTGGTTATTACGTTTTGTATGTTTTAAATTGGGCTTATTAGCACAAAACGTCACTACGTTTCGCTCTTAGTGTGCAAAACGTCTTTATGTTTCAATTTTTTGCATTTTCACCCCTATTTCAATGGATCATGGAAAACGTCATTTTTCGTCAATTTTTATTCAATTTCTCAATTAAAAATTGTAAAATGACAAATATAACCTCCTATTTAAATAAATCAAAAGAAAAAAAGAAAAAAAAAATTGCAATCATACACTCATTTAAATAAAAAAAAAGTACAAATAAATTAAATTAAAGAATAAAAAGAAAAGAAAAGCTACTTCTTCTGCCCATCTCCCTCTCCCACCCCATGCCCACCCTTACCAAGAAGTGAAAATAGTACTCTTAGGTCCTTCACATAAGAAAAGAAAAGTCGTCTCCGTCTACCTCTGCTTCTCTCACCCACTCCCACCCCACCCCCACCGTTACTTGATAGCATCGACATAGCCACCGCCTTCAAATCCTCAGGTAATTAAACCACTCTTTCTTTGTTCTTGCTATGTAAATCAAAAGTTGATTTTGCTTTGTCGTGTGAGTCCAAGTGGGAATGAATTGACCGTAAATAAGGGGAACTCTTTTACATCTGTTCAAAGGAAGGAGTTTGAAAGAGAAGCCATGATCTATAGGGATTATTAACACAAAACGTCATTACGTTTGGCATTTAGTGTGCAAAACATCCCTACATTTCAAACTTTTCCATTTTTCAAAACATCCCTGTTGATCTTCTTTTTCCTTGCTGATATTCTTTTTCTTCGATGATTTCTTCGTTTTACACTTTTGGTACTCAGATTAGATTTGGATTTTAAAAAGATGTTCTTGGTATTGGCGTTTGCGTACGGAAACTGATTATCTAGAAAGGTGCAAGCGAATGGATGGCAAGAAATGGAGGTTTTCAATAGTTTAGTACCCCATCACGAGTACTGTGAGTGTCATCTATAGAAAAGTCATCTCATTCAAGAAAGCTTGTGGAAGTCAAGAACAATGCTCTGACAATAATGAGAAGAAAAGCCCTCTTTTGTTTAATCCTAAAGCCGATCTAAGTATTTCTACATCATTTAGTAAGAAATATGATAGACTGGTTTTTAGTATTTCTACGTCCTCTAGTATTTCCAATCTATTTTCTGATTTCGTTTCGTGATGAGGGTGAGGGGTAGGGGTGGGGCTAGGAGTGGGAGTGGGTGAGAGAAGGAGAGGGAGAGGGAGAGGGAGAAGATTTTTCTTTACTTTCTTTTCTTTTTTGATTTTTTAATTTAATTTATTTGAGATTTATTTGTACTCCTTTTAAAAAAATGGGAGTATGATTGCAATTTTTTTTTTCCTTTTCCTTTTGTTTTATTTAAATATGAGGGTATATTTGTCATTTTACAATTTTTAATTGAGAATTTGGATAAAAATTGATGAAAAATGACGTTTTCCACAATGAAACATTGAAATATGAGTGAAAATGCAAAAATTTAGAACGTGAGGACGTTTTGCACACTAGAGCGAAACGTAGGAACATTTTGTGCTAATAAGCCTTTTAAATTGTAAAGGCAATTGAGCTATATGTGTCTATTTATGTTTATATATACGTAGTCCAATATCTTACTTCTCTCTCCTCTTGCTTGGATGTGACACGAGTCATGTAAAACAAAAGGAGAGAATGTGAAAGTTTTGGTATTTGTGCATCATTCCGTCATCTCTATTTTAGTGCTGTAGACTTCTTCATGAGATTATGGGATACGGGATTCATTTTTCCTAGCCTGGTCCCCCACTTTCTAGGCTCCCATTTAATGCAAGTATACTCTATTATACCTATCAAATTTTGCTCAAATTATAAAAGTTTTGAAATTCACATATGCTACGGCGCAAGATGGGTTGAGAGTCAGCACTTATACACTATGTGCGGCAGGACAATTTGAGGTTTCATAGAGAAATATGGAACGGAATGGGGAGAATTATTAGGTTGATAGAATGTTAGGAATTGGGAAGGCTTTCAAAAATAGTAAATAGATAAGCTGAGGTTGTCTGTGGCCATTTAGCTACCCATCCGTTGGGACTTCATATGGTTGTTGAAGTCTTATGTGCCATCCCCAAGAGAATGATGCATCACATCATATGCGGATTAAGATTTAAAATTTTCTGTTCATTCCTTAGCCTCAATGCTGACTAATGACGTTTTTGAATAGAGTAAAGCCTCACATCAGTGTCTAATCAGAAATGAAAATATTTAGTCAAACTTTCGCTAGTAATACAGAACGAGAAGGTGACTGTCAAAATCAAGTGGAGCCTGACATTTGGAGCAAAGAGGACCAAGGCTTTAAACTTTTTGACAAGACCTTTCATAACTCTAAGCTGAGTCCTGGCCTTATACTTTAGCCCAAACAAAATAGTGACTACCCTTTTGGGTTAAGTAAAACTAAAACAACAAATTCAGCAACTTGTAAACTTACAGAGACATAAATTGGACTGAGAACAAATTGTTTTGGTGCAAGTGGCTGCTCATGATCCATGGACTTCCACTTCTCTCTATATAGGTGTACTTTCCTCTGCTTCTTACCTGGACTGCATCAAATTGTTGAACAACAAAAGCAAATTTGCATGTTGCATGTGTTTGTTGCGTATTTGTATATACTTATTGCCTTCATGAGAATTTGCATATATGCATGTATCTATTACCAGCCCAAGTGGTATTTAGTGTTAGTCTCTTAATCTATTAATAGTGGTTTTAAGTTAGTTTGGCTGCTACGTGACTCATTGGAGAGGTGATGTAAAGTTGCACCATTTTTACTTAGTTTGTGAAGACTGATTCTGCAACTAACTTGCATTGACCATGTTGAGCTACAAGAATTTGATTTTGCAAAATACCAATGACAAGGTAAAATATAACTATATGTGGTGCAATTAAAAGTTGAAAACACAAGTTGAAGTTGAGCCTCAATACCTCTGACAGGTGAGAACATTGCAGATAAGTGAAAATGACACTATCATTCTCAATTGGCTATATGATTAATTTATGCAGGCTCTATTACACTAAACTTTCAATTGGTAGTCCTTCCAATGACTATCACGTCCAGGTCGATACAGGAAGTGACATTCTATGGGTGAATTGCGCTGGCTGTGATAAGTGTCCTACAAAAAGCGACCTGAAAGTATGTCACTTCTTCTGTTTCTCATTTTGATGTAATCTATTTATAACAAGATTTAGAATTGGAACCCTGAAATTAGAAGAAGTAGCTTATTTTCATTACATGTAACAGATAGCTTTGAAGCAGTATGACTTGCAGACCTCCTCAACTGGAAAGGCAGTTACTTGCGATCAAGACTTTTGCTCCGCTATGTTTAATGGTCCATATTCAGATTGCAAGGTGGGAGCGTCCTGTGACTATGCTGTTACTTATGGAGATGGGAGCAGAACAGAGGGATACTTCGTTAGAGATTACATCAAACTTGATGAAGTGACTGGAAACCTTCAAACCTCATCCATGAATGGGTCCATAGCATTTGGGTGAGTACTCATTTCTGACATGGAGTCTTCTGATTGGTCTATCAGTATATTTCGCCACTTGAAACTACTTTGTACATTTTTTATACCCATCCACATCACAAATGGATAATAGTACAAGTTTAGCTGTTCAATATTGTAAACACGTTACATGCATGAAGAGTATATGCTGTTTCTGTAGCTTACATGCTAGTGATCCAAGATAGGTGCTCATCCAAACAATCTGGAGAGTTAGGTTCATCTTCTGAAGCTGTTGATGGCATTCTTGGTTTTGGACAAGCAAATACGTCCGTGCTTTCGCAGCTTGCTTCGTCTGGGAAAGTGAAGAAAATATTTTCACATTGCCTGGATGGTGTCAATGGAGGTGGCATATTTGCAATTGGACAGTTGGTACAGCCAAAAGTAAAATCAACACCGCTGGTCCCAAATGAGTATGTAACTTTATAAATTTGTCGAAAAGTGGAGTTATTTGCAACAGATACATGCCATTTATGTTCAGTTAAATATACAGCGTAGGTGTAGATCTGTTTAATCAAGTAACCACTCAAATCATAGTTCAGAAACTCATATATTACATTTTGTATGTTATTGGAGAATTATTCAGCATTATTGCTTGGGTGGTAGTTTTCTTTTAGTGGTGTTTGAATAGATGTAAATTGTTCTTTTAAGATGATCAGCTTTTAGTGAGGATGCATTGGAAAAAGGTAAAAAGCAATCAATTCTAAGATGACCGGTTCCCCATCAAAACTCAGATTCCAAATATGGTCATTGTATCTCTGTTCTAATACAGATCTCTGTTTGAAGAACTTTCTTTCTTTGAAATGTGTGCCATTTCGAGATTCTAACTCCCCCCAAATAATATAATCTAGCCGGTGTTTAGTAGATGAATTTTGTAAGAGAAACAAAGCAGAATAAAAACATATACCTTTGGATTAATTGAAAATTATTGATGATGTTATATGTCACTAAAAGGATAGAAAAGGTAATCATAATTTAAATATAGGAGAAACAGTACATTTAAAGGTTCTGGCAAACATTTGGGTCTGTTAGATCGTCCCCCATCGATCTCTCCAGGTTGAAAGAAACTTTCCACGTTCAGAATTTCACAATCTGCAACATATCTAGACAATCATTCTGTCCTATGTCATTTCTTATTCTCAAAACTTCACTACTCCAACTTTACGTTGCTCCAAAATGCATGATTTATCTTCGTCAATTGAATCTCATTTTTTATATTCTTTCCCCTCATAAATAATTTCAAGAATACATTGATATTATTTAAGAAATCTAATCACCTTCTCATTGTGATTGCATAGTACTTTTACTTTTTCACTGTTCTCAAAGTCTTGCGAGATACCATTGAGTGTTAGTCTACTGTTGCACACATGGAAATTTCTTCTTCTTGAAGGATCCTATTGCCATTTTTATGCAATTAAAACAGCTTGATCATCCAGTAGAAGCATCAGCCATGGTCTGAGCCTCCAAATAAATAGGGAAGTGTTATTCTCTTACGTTGCCCCATCATTGGATATTTTTGATGGATTTCTCCTTTATTTATCCAAAATGGCCAGTGCACTGTTTGAACACTCCTATTAGCCTGTATTGACGTGCATTATTACCTGACCTAGGGTTACCACGAAATTATGACATGTATTTCTTGAAGATGGTTATCAAAATTTGCATCATATTTAGGTCAATATCAATTTCTTAGCACATGCTTCACTTCTTCAATAAGACACTTGAGAACTATTTCAGCTATGGCAATCTTAAGAGAGGATTGCAATAATAAAATTACCTGGAAAGAATCAATCTTTGTTGAAAGAGTTGTTTCATAATGGTTAGAGAACTCCACATTATTTCTCACATTTTTCTGTGATCGTAAAGAAAATACCCTCCAAATTGTCTTTCTTTAAGGTGTCAAAAACATGTAGATATTGGGGGAGCTCATGCATGTTGTGTATCAGTTTATGATCAAATAAATGTGCACAGCTGTGTGTTCACATCAGCTTTTGGTAGTGCAGAGAGAACTGCAACAATCCTTAACAATTTAAGCTCAACTGTGTATAAAGGCTCTGATCTTATAAGTGTTCACATCAGCTTTTGGTAGTGCAGACAGAACTGCAACAATCCTTAACAATTGAAGCTCAACTGTGTATAAAAGCTCTGATATTATAATGCTATTGGCTGGGCTGTTATCAAGACATGTTTTTTACCACCATTTTATAGGTGAAAAGTAGTAAATAATTTATGCGAAATTTTCCTACGCATTTAAAAATAATTTTATCTGTAGAGATTTGTTGCTCCATTCATTATCATTGAACAAATATCAGCCTTTTGTTTTAATTTTGTTAAATGTACCCTTCATGTATTGTATTTTTGTTCTTAACCGTGTGTATATCTTTAACGAAAGTCTCATTACTATCTTAGGGCACATTATAATGTCATTATGAAGGCAGTTGAGGTGGGTGGTGATTCTCTAGACCTCCCAACAGATTTGTTTGGCACAGGTTCTCAGAGAGGGACAATAATCGATAGTGGTACAACCTTGGCCTATCTTCCAGATGAGATTTATGAACCACTTCTGAAAAAGGTGGGTCAAATACTTCAAATGTGAATCCATAAATTTATCCTACAATTAAGGACTTACACAGCATAATTTTTTTTTTTTCATCTATCTATCTTCATGTACCTTGTGTGTCTATTTTCCTACTAACCATTCTCAATCTCTCTCCCCCCCCACCCCCGTAGGTGATGGCACGGCAACCCAATCTAAAAACTCAAATAGTTGAGCAGCAGTTCAAATGCTTTGATTACAGTGGGAAGTAAGGCTCCCCTCTCTCTCTCTCTCTCTCTCTCTCTCTCTCTCTCGTGTGCGTGTGCCATCGCACACTTGGTGTTGTACATAGTTGTATTGTGTTAACTGGTATACTAATAGTGGTAAGAAAGCTATAATTCAAAATGTGAACTGCAACGAATGTTATGCTTGACCATACTGTTCTGTTGTCAGATTATTTTTCCAGGTCCTTTTCCCTACATGTGTCTGCTCCACTGACACTTGAAGTCCCTCTGATGGCGTTAGGTTTCCTTGAAAATCGTGTATAGTTTCTCCAAGAGATGAGTTCAGAGTATAGGTAGACTTCAGAATTAATTTTTCTGATGTTTGACTTGGACATTCAACTGTATAAAACATCTCTTAAGTTGGCTTCACAAACTTCTCCAGTTACTATAAGATTGGGTGGAAATAATAATTTGGAGAAAAGTTGGAAGTTATTGACAAATGTAATTTAGACTACGTTGGAAGTATTCATAATTCTTCATGATGACCTTTTGAAGGTTGCTGATCTTTTGTGGGGATAAAGAAGTCAATAATCATGGCAGATATGATCATTGTCCTTCGGAGTTTTTCTAATCACGAAAAGCCTGAAAGAGTTTGATATCATGTCATGTCAGGTGTTTGTATTCACAAGTGCCGGTAAAAGTAATAGCGCATTCCACTATTTCTTGTCTAACTGCATGATTAGTTGAGATGGCGATGAGATCCAAGGAAGGCAACAAGCTATCAAGGTTTCGACGTATGTTGAGGAGAGGCTAATTGCAAATTCGAGATCAAATAGAGTCAATGAAGTCATGCAATCACTTGTTCAAGCTATGGAGTCCAAGAAGGTGAAGTTAACAAGTCAAAGACAAAGTTCTATGTTGGGCATGGGAGCGGAAACAAGTTGGAATGCATTGGAATCAAAAACTCAAAACTTGGAGACAATACGGACTGCTATGCGACCACATAGCACAAACCTGGGTGCAGCAGCATGCATCTATTCCGAGATCAGGTTGAAGGATGTTGAATGGTCGATGCGACTGCAAGCCATAAGCCTATGCGGCCGCATTGTAAAACCTAGAGCGTTTTTTTCCAAATTTCGCCTAGAATTCTATTTTAGTTAAAACTCTTTTATGTTATCTTTTAGGAGCAATTCCGTTTTAATTAGATTTTATGAGTTCAATATAAATAGAACTCATTCTATTCATTGTAATAACTCATAATTTGGGAGATATTATTACGAGGCATATTGCTTTCAACTCGTTCTTCATCGAATTAATTTCGAGCTTATTAAGAATTAAATTCTTGCATGGATGCCTACATACTGCAAGACTATTGAATTGCAATATCATCATCAAGTGTTAGGCCTTAAATTACTATTTGCCTGGTGTAAAATTATCTTCAGAGCCTCTTAAGATGGTCATAAATTTTAACTTGCTTCCTTCTTTTGTGTTTGTATTTGTGGCTACTGTTATCTGGATTGGCTTTAGAAGTTTATTAGTATCACATTCAATATGAATAGCGTGGTGCCATTATCTTTGTGGCAAAATTTGAATTGTTCAATTGAACATCAATATATTAAGCTAAGAATTTACTTTGTTCACGAATATAATATCCGAATTAATGCTGGGTTTTGCGTGTTTGTGCAGTGTCGATAATGGATTTCCAGTTGTCACTTTTCATTTTGAGGACTCACTTTCTTTGACGGTTTATCCCCACGAATATCTATTCAAAATTAGTGTAAGCTGGATTATATGTCAGATATTATTTCATTTATTTGGTTTGCATGTATTTCCTTAAGTACTTTCACTTGCGACTTTGCAGGATGATGAGTGGTGTATCGGTTGGCAGAACAGTGGAATGCAGACAAGGGATGGAAAGGAAATAACCCTGTTGGGAGGTACATTTCTAGTATTACTTATTTTTTTAGTCAATTAGTGTTCTTACTTAGGTAATGCTAAGAAGATTTCATACTTGCGTATCTTGTTGTGTGGTAAGATCTGGTTTTAGGAATTAGGATTTTATTTTTTGAAATATGGGATTCTTCTCATAATACATTTTATTCCGGCTCCTCTCTTAGCAGTAATAAATCCACTCTCGAACTATGAAGTGGCAAGTACTGAGATGTGTCATAGTTGTAATAGATCATAAACAAATAGTGATTTAATTAATTTCCGAATTGTTTGTAAATGCAGATCTTGTCTTATCAAACAAGCTCATTTTGTATGACCTCGAAAATCAGACCATTGGATGGACAGTATATAATTGTGAGTTGCAAGTTTTTGCATTGCTTCTACACTTCCCATTCAGTTTCACAATTTTAATTTTTCTCTTCTCGAATTGATTGTATCACATAATTTCCTTAAATCAATGTTTTCGTTGTAGTTTGATTGTGTTGAATTTGAGCTGTTAGTACATAGTTTTCATTAGACCTTTTGTTATTATTTAAAAGAAATGAAGGAATTCATGTATTTCTTCACATGTAAATTAATAAATAACAAAAAACTGTGAACGTAATATCATTACAAATGAAGATATCCTCCTCTATCGCCAGTTAAATGGCTTTGTTCTGTTTCAAGATCGGTTGATATTTTTTTTTTTCCTGAAAACGTATTTTGCATTGATTTTTTAACTAAAAATTGTCTTCCAAAAGCAGTAAATTAATGGCAAATTTTAAAACATAACTTGTTTTCTCAGAAACTAATAGGCTAATAGAGCATTATATTCCAAAAGCATTCTCGTTTGACCAAAAACCATAAAAAAGTCATTCAGTTCTGGTGAAGTCCAGGTTTTCCTTTGATCAGACGAAAAAGAGCTTATAAAGGTATATTTTGAACTTAGAAGCTTTGAGGACTCAGTCCTGAGACAATCTGTCCCATATTAGGGGATTTGTATCATTGTATGTGCAATATTCATGGTGTCGACAATTCACATCTTTTTCGCTTGTTACAAGCCAGTTTTACCTATACAAGACTCAGTTATTGCTACTGTTTTGACTTCTTACGAGGACCAACAGAATAATTTTTAGATTGTCAATATTTTACCTATGGTTCACAGGGTGATAGATTAGCTGAATTAACCCAAGATATGGTAATCAATGGACTTCTGTACCAGGTCTAAGTAAATAACTTGGTTGACAAAGTCATTAGGCAATATACATGTCTCTGTGATCTCTATGAATTATCTAAAATATGATATGTTAGTTTGTGCCATTTTGACTGTAAACTTTGTGCTGCGTGAGATTTTGATTAAGATCAAAGTCTTTTTCTTGTTTATCTCAGGCTCTTCGAGCATCAAAGTGAGAGATGAAAAGTCGGGAAACAGTTATACGGTGGGCGCCCATGATATTTCTTCTGCCGGCATTCTGAATAGAGGAAATATTATACCCTTCATTTTGTTAATAGCCTTCCTGCTCAATTTTATCGAATGAGCCATCACAGCTAGTATATTTGATATTGTTTTATCTCAATATGTTGGGTGCTGATGGATATGTTGTTTGATTCTTTGAGTTCATAGCGAAAAATAGTTCTTGGAATTATAAGAATTCCCATGATTATTTGATTCCATTGTCATGTTCTGTGTTCTTGACACTTCTTGTCTTCAAGAAAATATAACAAATTAAATCACATGAACTGAAGAATTGTGTACAAAATGACAAGGTAGTTTTTTTTTTTTTTTCATCTCATTTCAATTATCAGTATCCTTAATTCCTGACAAGTCATTCTTGCTCATGATCAGATGAAAGCTAGTGCTAATGTAGTGTTTAGTTATACACACAGATATGGGTTGACAGTCGCGTGTGTCTGTGTATGCTAGCACGAGCGAAGGCACATTACTGCTAGGAATGAAGTGTGCACAGTTTCAGTCGCCCAGGTTGTGCAAATGGAAATGACTGAGAGCGCTTATACCGCGGTTTTCTTTGGTAAAAATTGCTAAAGCTGGTGGCTGACCACCACAGGTTTGATCACAACCACTTTTTGGAACAGTGTATAAGAAATCACAGAAATTAATTGTGATGCTTTAATTGTGTAGTGTGAAAGCAGAATTTGGTGATGGCTCAAAAGGAAAATAATATGTATGATGATGCAGTAAGCTGCTAAAAATGAGTATACATTAGATTAAACTGGTAACTCAATGTTTATGCGCGCATAGTACGACCAACGATGTAAAACTACTACAAATAAGAAACATCGTCTTTAATAAATGCGTCATTGATTGCAAGATGAAAATTGTTGGGTCTCTTTGTTTGGAAGGGAAGGAAAAATCAGTAATGAACATACTTTTTTCTCTTGTGCTTTTAAGCCATCCCAAACATGTTCTAAGCCGATGAAGGATTTGTGTGACGTGTTTGACTATAGCCCTTTGGCTATATCAAGTGCCGAACAACTTATTTTTCTGGTTTCATTTGGCTTTTCACATTTCTTTGTTTAATTATGTTCTCATTAATATATATTTATCTTAGAAAGGTGATTGGAACACCCCCAATATAATCGAAAACATTTTGTTTATTCCATTATCCCCACATTTCCACGTATACACAAGTCATTCTCACTACCCATTATCCCAACATCATATATATACTTGACATGGCATTTTGTCCACCTATTATCCTCACATCCCTATATATGCACATCAGTCGTTCTCACTCCAAGGTCTACATTTTCCATATATGCACACGATGTGACTTTTATCTACCCATTATCCCCACATCTTTATATTCGTCTCATAAACTTCAAAGTATACCCATTACCCCCATATCTCTATATACACGCTTGACGTGACATTTTCTGTACGCATTATTCCCACATCTTCATATATACATTTATCGTACACACTCCAAAGTCTACCCATTATCCCCGCATGTTCATATATACACACACACTTGACCTGGCATTTTATCTACCCATCATCCTCACATCTCTATATATATTATACAGTATCGTTCACAAGCATTATCGACACATCTCCATATTTACACAAACATTGACTTGTTATTTTGTCTATCAGTTATCTCCACATCTCCATATATACATTAATTGGGAATTATAATGAATTCCCAATTCCCCGTCATCGTGTCACCACCTTGTTTGACTTATAGCACTGTTGTCCATTACATGATCTTACGACTTTGTTGAAAGGGGTTTTCTTGATTGGAATACCCCCAAAAAAAAAAAAAAAAGATCAATCCCTTTGTGTTGTGCTTCAATAAGTTTAGATAAGGTTATGCATAAAAAGTTTATTTGATAAATGAACAAAAAAACACGAAATGTCCATATGTAAAATCATAATTACTGATATGGCTTGATATACACTGCATAAATTAAGCAATGTGTGTTACAATTGATGATTGAGATAATCCTCCTTTGAAAAATCTATAGGAAAGAAATCTATCGACCGATCCGGTGGTTCTATGGCTCAATGGTGGACCTAGTTGTTCCAGTTTTGATGCCTTTGTCTATGAGCACGGTAAAGTACTTATAACCATTATTAAAATAATGGTTTTGTTTTTTTTTTTTTTTAATTTCAAATTATTTACTGATATTCTTCTAACATTTAAAAATGAAAATATTATTATTCACAGGGCCATTCAATTTTGATGCAGCAAAGCAAGAAGGGGGATTGCCCACTTTGCATCTCAATCCTTGTAGTTGGTCTATGGTAATTATTCAAAATTAATATCATTTTTCTCCATTAATGTCAAACTCAATCTATAATATAAGTTTAATTAAAAAGGTATCAAACATTATCTATGTGGATTCCCCGGCTGGTGTTGGATTCTTGTATTCTGCTAACACGTCCAAGTACAATACCAACATACTAAATAATTATTCATGCACAACACATTAATGGAGAATTACATCGATTTTTCTTGTTCTCTTAATTTCTAGTGGTTCGAGCAATTTCCGGAGTTTATTGGCAATGAGCTTTACATTGCTGGGGTTTATGTCCCTACTCTTGCTTCTACAAAGGTACATAATTAAAGACAATATTGTGTCCAATTATTATTGGATAATGTTTCTTATTAATGAATTTATGGTTGTAGGGATCAGGAGTGGGGTAAAACCTGTTATCAAATTTTAAGGTACATTCCTATTCCTATGCATGTGCCTGGTCTTCCTCTCATGGTTTCTGCTTCATTTATGTTGTAATGCATGTGATGTGATGCAGGGTTACATGGTTGGAAATGGGATATGTGATCCAAGATTTGATTATGGGGATGCTCTTGTCCCATTCGCACATGGGATGGGCCTAATCTCAGATCATATGTATATGGTGGGCATCATCGAGATAAATTTTGTTTGCATTAGTGACGTAGGAAAGAACAAGAATCGCACGTAAAAATTCAAACTTGTTGATTCGCTCACGAATGTCAAGAGTTAAGAGAAAATTCCGCACCAAATTTTTATTCCAAAAAAAATTGATTGTTATTAAGGCTCATAGCCCTTATTTAAAGCAAGATAATGACGAAAATGAAAAGTCGTAATAATTAGATCAATCCGAATTGAATTCCGAAATTATTTAGTAATGAAATAACCAAAAAACGGTGGGGGAAGGCGTTTTCGGATGTTTGAATTTAGCCGAAAAATGTCGTACATGGGTGGAAAAGCCCCTTGAGTTTTGCTCGTCGGGCCTTTGTCCACTCAGATTTATCCGAAAACAGACACTCCAAGAAATAATCTTTCACAAAATCTTTTGTTAGCGTCAATTAGTTAGTACAAATGCCTCGCACACATTTGGTATTGAGTTGCAAAATCATGTTTAATGGTGATTATTGCAGCCAGCAGAAGTCTCGTGCAAGGGAAACGACCACAACTACACCAAGGATGAGTGTAATTCAGCATTAAATAATATGTAAAGGGTATTAAGTCACCTAACACTTTTGACTCGTTTAATTTTAAGTGTTTATTTATGTAGTAAGCGCATGTAGCGAAAAACCCCATTCTCAATTTGCTAACTTCTTGTGAGCGGATATTAATATCGATGGTTTTTGTCACGCGGGCTTTAGATGGCTTAAACTGATATAATATCCTCAAACCTTGCTACCATAGACGTGCAGGAGTACAAGGAAATACGAGTAATCGGTTGCCAATGTCATCTGATAAACCACTCCCGGTTAGAAAAAGAATGTATGGTCGAGCTTTGCCTTTTCGAGCACCGGTCGAAGATGGACTTATTCCTTAGTGGCCGCAATTAACGTAGAGCGGCGGTGTTCCATGCATAGTAAGTACTGAAATAAATTCAAGTCTTATTCTCAATAAATTTGAGATCAACTTCATGATCAATCTTCACCGTTCAATCAGTTCATCGCTAGATCTGTTCGAAAGATCTAAAGCATGTAGATAGTAAGTTTGTTGCTCAAATCGAGGCAGGATGATACAGTAGCAACCGTAAGGCTGAATAACAAGCAAGTTAGAAAGGCAATTCACAGTAAGTACACAATTACCAATTATAATTAGAAACTAATTAAAAGTTGAATTAATTAATCTTTTTAATTTTCATAATTAAGGAGAGTGGAGATTCGAGAATGGAGCGCCTGCACCGATAAACTAAGGTATTGTCATAATGCTGGAAGCGGGCTAAGCTACCACAAAAACTTAACTGCCAGTGGATACAGGATACTCATATCTTGGTAATTAAATTAATTATCCCTTTCATTTTCCCTTTTAAGTATTTATAAGTGATTGCAAATTAATTAATTAATTTGGCTCAATGGAGATCGTGACATATAGGGACGGATCCAGGACCAGAT